GCTATCCATTCCTTCTTCCTCATTTTTCCTGCCGTCCTCACGTTCGTGAAACCAAATTACCCCCCGCACGCCGAATGGCTCAACAATATTTCTCGTTTCCAAAGTCATTTCGGTGCAAAGCAAAGTGCCATAAAGTTAATTATAACCAAATTCAATAACTAGGAAGATAGTAGTTAGAGGAAGGAAGAAAACTATGTAGTTTGAAGAATGCCTATCTATGCTTCTCTGAAATTTCGATAAGCTGGTATGATCTAAAAAGATTTTTCAATTAGCTCTGAAAAATTAAGATTTTTAATCCATAAATATCAAAATCTTTTTTTAGTAACAAACAGAACACAACGAATACCTGATCTGTGCAAATCTCTGCAGTTATTTATTTTGCACAAGATACGTGATATTCAGAAGTACAGAAAAGTAAGCAGCATACCGGCGTCATATTTCTTTCCATGAATGTTTAAAAATAACTTGTAATTGATTCTATTCCATATTTCCAATTCCATCTATCACGCCTACCAAAAAAACCTTTTCGGGGAGGAAATTGGAATTTATACTTGGAATATACCAACATCATCGTTGAAATCAGATAAGGGAAACGGAAGGAAAAATAATCATATTTTATCAAACAAATCCCCTCCAGTGGATTCCTAAACCCGGTACTTCTCTACTAGCATTAGCCTTTTTTTGCAAGACCGAATATGTGTTTTTTCTTCATTCTATGGTTCTTTTTTGCCGTTTTCCCAATCCTTTCTCACTTTTTTGGGATGATGGGAGCAGTTTCCAAGAGATACTTAAATATTTTTTTGCTTCTATTATTGCAACCAAAACAAAAGGACTTTTAACCGAGAGTCATAATCCGGAGAGACCTTTTTGTGGCTGAGAACCCCTTTTCTTCGCAATCCCAAAACGCAAAATGATTGTTTTCACTTACTTCTCCAAAGTCCTCCATTTTATCTATTCCAACATTCTGACTCTTGCTTTCTTTTCAACCAAAATTTTAGCCAGATAGATGATGATGTACAAACATCACCAGAAATCTATCAACATATTCTATTAATTTCTAAATGATCCTCTTTTCTTTTGAAATATGGATGCACTTCATAGAGAAAAGAGCAAAAAGCAATGAAGAAAGATAGGAGAGCACCCCACCAGCACGAGGAGGAGCACGGGCACAAAAAAGTTATTTCGTGTCATGAAAAAAGAAAGCAATGTTATTTTTAATGGGTCGTTCAACACGTTGAACACAAAACACGACTACTATCGACATCTTGTCAAAAACCGAGCATATCCTCGCGCCACCAGAGATCAATCCGAGATTTTCATGATTTTCGGAACCACAGACTGAGAGAAAATTTACGATCGTCATGTCTAGGAGGATGATCACTATGGTGAGATTAGATATGATAATTTGCCAGTTTTATTTGATATATGAGGAGTTCCATAAAAGAATCTTGAAACTTGAAAAAACTTTTGGGAATTTTTTTCAAATGTTTTGAAATTTTATATTTTCCGAGAAGTCGGGTTCCCGACAAAATTACCAAATTTTTTTTCCGAAATAATCTGTTCCCGAGATTTTGTCCAAAATAATTTTTCTGAAATTTTCCAGAAAATCGTGGAAAACTTGGAAATTGGTTTTCAATTAATTTTCGCCTGTTTTTTTTCAATTTTTGCTACCAATTTATTTCTCAAAAGTGTGTATTGAATTTCTTTGGAAAAACTATAGAAAATAATAGCAAATTTGAGAAATCTAGAAAAATAATGACTGGAAAATTTCTCGAAAAAAAAGATTCGGGAAAATTTCCCGGAAAAAAACTCGGGAAAGTAGAAGAACGGGACTCCCGATTTCTCGATTCAAACGAGTCTGGTTTAAATGTTAAGTGCAATTTTTTCATAGACTACTCAGAATTTCTGGAACCATCAAATCTATTCTGATGTCACTTGCTGACTTTTCAGGTTGGAATTTTAATCACTCGTGTTTCATTTTCCGTTTTTAAGATGTTTCGTTTGACATAATTCCTCTTTCGTCTCCATATGTCTCCTCTTCCACTAAATTATTCATACCATTGTGACTATTTTGAGAATTACTCTCAAATATTTGGCAAATTTTACTTCTCGCTTTAATTTTTGTCTTCAATTCTTTAAAATAGGTATCTTACTTTATTCTGAAAATTGAATGCAATTGAAAAACAAGATCAAGCATTTTGAGCCAAAAATGAATGGAAAAAACAATTTTGACTTTAAAAAATATTTTAGATTTTCAAGAAAATTTTGGATTTCGAATCAATTTCTAGATTGTAAAGATCTTGAGAAACATTGGACTCCAAAAATTTCGTTTTTAAAATCCAAAATTTTCTGACGTACTTTAAAATCCAAAAAAAAAATCGAAATCCAAAATCTTCTTTAAACTCAAATTTGTTTCAAAATCCGAAATTTTATTCAAAATCTAAATTAACTAGAGTCGAACGCAACGAAAATTCCCAAAGAAAACAACTGTTCTGAAAAAGGTGAAATGAGTGGTAACTTCCTTTATTTTCTCATGACAAGAGGACCTATTTCCGCCTTTTCCATACTTTGTAGCTCTTTTTGCCGAGTTTGATCTAAATAGTTTTTGTTCTATATGCTGTCGACAAGTTTGAAATGTGACAAGCTGCCTTTGGTTGACGTTTTATGTCTGCCAAAAAAAATGGGAGGTTCCAGTTTTTATTTGGAACATTTTTGAGCTGACAGAATATTATTTTTATCTCAGATTTTGGCTATATTAAAAACAGTTTTCTAGGCTTGATATCATTTTGAATATATTTACTTCCCGGGTGTTTCCTCAAAATGTCGTCATGATTCTGTTGCACCCGACTCAGTAAATTTGAAAGTTTCTCGGAAAGAGGTGTCAAGAAAGGAAGTCAATTTAGGCCGAATATAGCCGGCAATTGACAGATGTTTATTCAAACTGATACTAGCTGAGAAGCTATGAAATGTGCATCAGTAGCTCAAAATAGTAGCATGTCCTAGATCAATTGAGCTAATTTCTTTTTCTTGGAACATTTTTCTTCTGTGCCATAAAAGGTTTTTGGAAGCAGAAAGCATTTTTTTTCTGTTATTTCTTCAAGCACTCATTGAAAAGTACTCATTGTGTAGTCCAGATTGTCTTCGCCCTCTCCGCAATGTTTTTCAATATCATAAATCGAAAGAACTTCAATATGCTCCGCCTATTTCTTGAAAATCTTGTTCTTCCTTATTTATCAGACCCCGTACTTCTTCTTCGAATCTTTCTGATGTATTCACACTGCTTCTTTTGCCACATATACTACACTTATTTATCATATTGACGGAATAAAAAGGCAGTAGCATAAGAAGTCGTCGTCTACGTGTCAAGAAAAGGAGAAGCAAAAAGAATATCGGAGACAAAACAGAATAGAAGACAGAGAAGAAACTCACTCCCCCCGCCTGACTTCTTTTCTTTCACCTCTTATTATCCAGAATCTCCGAGAAAAGTGGAAAAAGAAGTTATATTCCGACGACTATTCTGAAAGTGTGACAAATATTTTTTTTTCCTCTGAATCTCTAGTTATTTTCTTGCGAAGCTGAAAACGGGACAAACATGTCCTTAAGTGTACAGTCATGGTGAGTTGAATGTCTGAAAATGAAATCTGAAAAAGTTGTTTTGCAAGCTTTGAGATCTTCAATATTCCTTCAAAATACCTATATTTAATTATGGTTCCTTTTTAACAAATCTATTAACCTCTGCACTTTCTTTTCTAACCTCACAATAACATCCGATTGCATTGTGTCTAGTGGAACCGTTCCATCCTACAAAAACTTCAAAAAACGTTCGACTCATATCGAGCTCATATAAAAGTCTCTTTCCCGGAGACAGATATTGTAGATAATCCATTCTGATCCCGGATCAATTTTAGTGCAATTGAATGTGCGTTATTGTGTCGAACATTGGTACGTTTAAAGTTTAGATAGGATAGTTCTTCAACTTTTTTAAAAGGTGCAAGAGCGAACTACCGCGTTACCATACTTCACTACCCAACTACCGTATTACCGTATTACTCGAACTTGTTTTCAGTTTTCAAAGATCTTCACTGTTTTTCTATGATTTTCAGAATTTAATTCATTTTTCCCCCATTTTCATCGTAAAATAGGTAAAAATTTTCGAAAAAATTTAATAAATGCGAAAAAAAGCGATAGATAGTTAAAAGTCAGCTCTGCTCAATTTTTGTGGTTACTGTGACGTTGTTGTTTTTGCAATGAGCAATTGAAGATTATGGCATTTTTTGTCTTTCTGTCGAATAAATCTGAACAGAAAGTCAGAAAATTTCCAGACAGGAATGGCTTAGAAAAAACGCTTTTAATTTTTCCTTGTCTATTTAAAAACTGAAATTAAAATTCAAAAATTGTTCTGTACATTTTCGCTGACCCCTCATGTCAGACATTTGGCAACATTTCTGAAGTTGGAAAGTCTCGAGTTAAATGATACAGATGTGCGTATGTAGAAAAGACATCTGGGTCAGAGAGACTTGCTAACGAGCTGTCAAACGCAAGTTTCCTTCCGGTGTGGGCTTTCGATACCCCGCTTCAGTATTCGCTAAATGACATTCCAAGTTCTGAAATCACGCCACATTTCCCGACTTTGTTGCGGTTTTGTATCTCGTTTTCCAGCTAAGATTTCTACTATAGTTATAGTCGAATTCCTCTAAGAATTTAATAGTTTAAACTTCCCAATTCATTTCCTCCCTTTTCGGTTCATATTTTAGCTTTCTCGTTAGAGCATCGTCTTTTTCGATTCTTTTCTAATGAAAAGAGAAGATAAGCGATAAAAAGAGGAACTGCGCATATCGAGATAATCCAAATCTTATGAAGAATGGCTGAAAGCTCTCATAGGCTTTCTCCGTTTTCTTCATATAAGCTTATGACTGATTTCAGAATTTTGATGAACTTTATTTCTCTTTGCCTCTTTGTGCTCTTCTTAAAATGTTTTAATTTCCATTATTTTCAGGAAGATGAGCAATTCAACTTCCCCGAACGCGGCAGCAACCGTGGGGAACATTGCCTACTGCTACGTGCTGCCATGTATTTGTGTGATAGGTTCGTTAAATTTTTCCTTAAAATTTTATTATCATTATTTTGATTCTCATTAGTGTTCAAGTTACTGAAGAAAAAAATTCATAGTTAAAGTAGAAATTTGACTTTTGAAATATTCTAGAACTATTTGAAATGTTTCATTCTACCTTCAAACGTGACGTGACATCATAGAATTTCAAAGTCTCATTGCACTTGATCCAATTTCCTTCATCTGACCTCATATGACCTTAACCTAATCAAAAATGCAATAAAGAAAGAGTCTAAGCAAGTGCAAAGACAAACAAGGCACATGCTCCCTCATCGCATATTCTCGTGTAAATTTTGTCTTCAAAATTGAAACAGACTAACAATGCACATAGTCTTTTAATCAATTTCTTGTCACGAAAATTGTGGTGTGACGGAGATGACATGTAGAGAGAAAGAGATAGAAAAGAATAAACCACCCCGAGTTTGAGGGGATTGTAGGGTTTCTGAATAGAACCAATTAGAAGAGAACTTTGAAGAAGCACTGGTGGTGTGACCGATAATGGTCCGGGCCTTGCAAAGTGAAACAATAGCAAAAGTTTGCGCAAATAATTTGAAGGGTAAAAAAATTCGGGGTAATCGGAATACAAAGCAATTCAGGTGTACAAAAATCTCAATTTGGGTGTACAAACTACATGAAAAAACTAAGTTTGTGATCCCAAATTGTGAGTTTTGTACTTCTACATCACTTTTTACCACTTCGTATCCTCCGAATTATGTACCAAAAGTCTGGGATCCCTAACTCTCGAAATTTCAGGAATCGTGGGAAATATCACGAATTTAGTGGTCCTCGCTTCGCGACGACTACGAGCTGTTTCATATATGTATCTGAGAGCCCTGGCAGTCGCTGATTTGCTCTGTATGTTGTTTGTACTGGTTTTTGTCTCAACTGAATATATGGCCAAAAATGGATCCACTATCAATCAATACAAAATTTATCAAATTTACCAGTGTCATTTGATGCTCACTCTTATAAACTGGGCTCTTGGAGCTGGAGTCTATGTGGTTGTGGCATTGTCTCTGGAGAGATACATCTCGATTGTTTTTCCAATGCACTTCCGAACCTGGAATAGCCCGCAACGAGCCACTCGAGCTATCATTATTGCTTTTTTGATCCCAGCCATCTTCTATATCCCATACGCTGTTACCAGATATAAGGGAAAACAACGATGGGACCCGATCCAAAATGTTACAATTTATTCTATGGATGATCACCCAATCTACACCACTTTTTACTGGCAGGTGAGCACCTCTTCCGAAACATGTGGACATTTTGAGTTTTTTTATAATCTTTCAGATCTATAAGTGGACTCGCGAAGCCCTCCTTCGATTCCTTCCAATTATCATTTTGACGGTGTTAAATCTTCAAATTATGTTTGCGTTTAGAAAAAGACAAAAGATGTTCCAGCAGCTCACTAAGAGAAAGGAGCAGGGAACACAAAAGGTTTGCTAGAAATCATATTATTTTATAAAACTATAAAAACTTCAGGATGATACTCTTATGTACATGTTGGGTGGTACTGTATTGATGTCTCTAGTTTGTAACATTCCTGCAGCTATCAATTTGTTGCTCATTGATGAGGTATCGGCCACAATTCAGGCTTCATGAGAAATAATGTTATTTCAGACTTTGAAAAAACGGCTCGATTATCAAATTTTCCGAGCTGTCGCCAATCTTTTGGAAATCACTAATCACGCCTCTCAATTCTACGTGTTCTGCGCATGCTCCACCGACTACCGTACCACCTTCCTTCAAAAATTCCCTTGTTTCAAGACGGACTACGCCAACCGAGACAGACTTCGGTCATTCGTTCGCCGAACCCAATCTGTGATTCAGAAACAAGGAAGCGTAGAACACACTACAAATTCAAAGGTTTGGATAATGTTCAAAAGCAAGGTGGGTGAGCAATCTGGCGAAGGAGAGTGCATGAAGCAAAAGAAGTAGGCATGGTTGCTTTTCTAGAAATCACAACTTTCTCTCAATTTCGTTAAATTTATTTTTGCATATAACAATGTCATGCTTTGCTCCCTTTCATCCTATCGCCATAAACAGATTGCTCACCCTCAACACACAAATGCACACTGTACTGAGAATCCTTCCAAGAGCAGCTGGAAAAAATCGCGAAACTAACGTTGTAGAGCTCGCAAGATAGCAACTCCTTTAGATTATAATTTATGCAACTACAAAAAAAACAACTTAAATTTTCCAGTTTCAACGGGATTCACTCTCGCACCACTCCCGAAAATTCTCCCGCCACATGCCCATTGAACAAGACACCGTCGACATTCAACTAGCTTCTGGAGAGCAGAGCACCAGTGGCGAGACGTGCGAAGCCGACACCCTTATCAAGTATGGCGGGTCGATTCAGTTGTGCAATGACGAGAACAACACCACGTTTCTGTGATGCTTTGTTTTAGCTTCATCACTTCATTCACTCTTTTGTTGAAATAATCTATATTTCTAATTTGAATACTTATATTTTTAATTATGACCTATGATTGCCCCATTTTGAATAGTACGTGTAATTATTTCAATTTTCACTATTTGCACTTTGACACCACACCGCCACACTACTTGTTTTCTTTTTTTTTTTTGGTCCATGCCAAAGCACCCACTTTGCTTTTTTTCACGAAACTTTTCATTTCAGATATTTTGACACACACGTCTTGCTTTTCTAGATATGTTCTCTCATTTTTTTTGCTATGGATCTCGCTTTCAATGATAATGAACTATGTTGTGATTAGTTTCATCTTGGAATGCTCAAAAAATTTGTTGGATTTTTTCCTCGGATGACTAAAGAGAGTGTCATATGTAATTGGCTCCGATTCATACAAAACAGGAGCCAATTTGCAGAAAAGAAATCGGGCTATATACTTTTTGGTGTGACTCAAAGTTCTCAAAATAGAGAAATATGGGAGAAGGGATCAGAACATCACGGGTACATTCTGCAAAATGTATATCTGATACATAGTTATTTTTGGTTTTTGATAGTTGTTATGTTACCTATATGTATTTATGACATCTTCAATCACATGTCCATATATTCATTTCAGCACAATTTCCGCCTGACTGCCGTCATGAGGAGACCCGATGTATCCAAGTGTTAATCCCTCTCTTCTCAATTCTTCTTGCTTCTGCGTTTTCATATTTCTGCATTTTCCATATATATCGCTTATTCTCTTCTCAATCTTGTCTATTTTTCTCTATTTTCTCTTTGTCCGAGACAAGGACGTTGCTTTTTGAATATTTACGACAGACAGAAATAAATTTTTTCCTCCTTTTAGTCTGAATTGGATGACAGAGAATCGTACAACAATATTCTATTTTAAGCATGGCTCTTCTTCTTTTTTTTCTTATCTACAAAGAGAACGTTTTTGGAGGAAAGAAAGAAAAACATCACAACGATTGCTTGTGATTTTTTTATTTTCTGTTATTTTGTGCCCGTACTATTGTCAATACCATGTACATTTCCGACACTCCCCGTCTTTCTATTGTGATATCAAATAAAGTTGGTAAGAAGGAGGAGGAGATAACGAAAAGAAAAAAAAACATCTGGTCGTGGTGTCTCTCTGAACGACGGTGATCTGTGTCGTATTGGAAAATGAAAAAACCATCGTCTAACTTTCTCCGTGTCTTCCTCACTTGTCTTGTTCCATTTCCTCCTCCTCCCACACGCTCCTCAGTTTTTTCCCAATCGTTCGCTTTTTTTCTAGTCTGTATTTGCCATTCCGTTCAGCACACATTCATCATCTTTGACGAGGACCATCATGAGCGCAACGACCGTTTACTTTGACGACTATTACCACCGAAGAGCGTCATCCGGAAAACTTGAGTTTGCATGGTGAGCGCAATTTTTAACAAAGCTATTTGAATTTTTAAACAATTTGTTTATTCTTTTTTTTAAAGAGCCCATCTTCATCCAACAACATTCCCAAAAGTCAATCCTGCGAAGAAATCCCGGATATCAATCAACGCAGAAGGCATCCATCGCTCGGATTCCTCGAGTAAGTCTGGTTTCCGCTAGCCTAAAATAGAAATAGCGTATCACATATTCTAGTCTGATCGGGCATTTTTGAGATTTTTGAGATTTTCGATCATCAGAAGTGTTCTAATCCGAATCGTTCAAACCACTTCTTTTTCACATTCTTCTACTTCTGTTTTCTCCTAACAATCATCCATCTTTTTCACACTTATTGATATCAAATCAACATCACCTTATCATTATTGCAGGTTCTCCAAGACGCCCAACTTCCGAGCGCGCAGAGACGCCGTCTTCGAACCAGTAGGTAAGAAAGATTCAATAAATATGAGAGACAATATCATCTCTTACCGCCAAAATCAAACATCGAAGTAAATGTATCAAAAACACACACTCAATAATCGTAGTTCCGGCGTCTGTCACAACGGATGCCATAAATAAACGGGTGATAGTTGATAAAATGAAGACGAAAAAAGTAGTACGGGAACCTGTTTCCAGTCGTCTTCACCATCCTCAATCATTTTGTCATGTCATTAATCATGCGAAAAAGTTTATTTTTAGAGTTTCAACGGGTCGTGGTTGTGACAGTTCCGACAACCCAGATCGTCGTGGACACGAGTCAAAAGAGAAAAGGAGAAGATTCAATGGACGTTGATGCAGCCAAGAAACTCAAGCATGGATGATCTGAAACATTTCAATTGCATAATTTTAACTGAAAAAGCATAACTATGACTTCGTGATACAAAAATATTTACTCATCATTGTAAAGAATAAAAATTGCTTGTCAATAACACTGCAAATTAATTTTGAGATCTTCAAAATGTCGCAATGAATATCTGAAGTATGTACATATACTCTATGTATAGCATGTCCAGAATGGCAAAAACTTTACAAGGGAACCTCAACATCTCGTAAACCGAAATTCGATGATATTTTAGGATACTTTAACAATTGGCTATCCAAACACATCTCCATGCTTTGGGAATCTGCTTACCAGTTTCAGCCGAGTTATATCAGTTTCAGTACTAAAAACGGTCTCTCACACGGGAAGTACCAGAAGTGTCTGCTCTTTTTTTGTTAGATATTAGTGGCAATAATGTCCTTTCCCTAGACTATAATATAGATAGTCTTAAAAGTCATGATATAGAATGCCAAGAAGCAGTTTGAACAGAATGGCCAAACTTTTCCTGATTTATTTAAACAGTGGATCAAGTTTATTCAAAAAAAACATAACTTTGTACAGACTGAGGATAACGTTTTAAGTTTAATTGCATCTTATAGAACAAATTGGAGGCTAAAAAAACTAATTTACACCTATTGTCTATCTGTAGAATAAACTTACTAAGATGGGAAATGTGCAAATGGTCCGATAGTATGGAATCAAAAAATGCCGATTTTCGAAAAAACGTATTTGGGAGACCATGGCTACTCCATTTCGTTAATGTCATAATGCACAACTATACTTTCAAATATATAGCTCACCGCTCATTTAAGAGAGATTTTTGGAAAAAAACGGTATTTTTGACCAGAAAATATTATAGAAAGTTTATTGCTTCAAATGTTAAGGAGCAACTATAACATCATGTTACTGATACTAAGGTTTTTGCCCCATTTTGTATTTTTAATTTAAAACGGTCAACTTTTGAATCGGTTCCAATCTTATATTGTAGTTTATCGGCTCAGTAATTTATTCTTTTGACAATTCCCTCAACACAATCAGATGGAAAAAGTCTCTTGCATATCAAAAAACGAATGAATGAAAAATTTTTCTGTTAGCTCTCTTCATAATACTGCTTTTCGACGGCTGCTCGTTGTTCCTCTTTTTATCCATTTTCTCTTCTTTCAACTCATCTCCGTTTCGTTTTTTTTCGTTCGTCTGGGTTTTTCTCTTGAGTAATCCTGGCCCCGCTCTCTTGGTTTTAGTCTAGCGGCAACTACTATATTTTCAAAAAAAATATAGTAGGCCTTGTTAGGCAAAACTGAACTTTTTCCGATAAAACGTAATCAATTATATGATTTCAATTTCGAAGTTCCTTTTTTTTACTGCTCAAAACCAACATGTCTTTAATTTTTTCAATTACTTTGCTTAATTACTTTTACAATTAGACTAATATCGGTGAAGTCAATAAAATACACTGAAATGATACACTGAAAACAACAGAATAAATGTGTTATGAAAATCTTCTATATACCTACCATGGCTTTTTGGTAAACTTATCTACTATTTTTTGGAGGAAATTCCGTTTCTTTTTTTAATGTGCGAATGTTTCTTTCTACATGGAAGTCCTTCTTTTCAGCAACTTTTTATAACTGCATATAAAACGGGCGGTGTCCCATCTATATGCGAAGTGTTATTTTATTACGGTTTCCGATAGTTTTGTGTGGCTTCAAAAAACCACGAAAAGTGTATAGTGAATGAATTTGAATTTTTAAATTTTAGTATTTTTTTGGACAATCGTTGGCTGATTTTTCACATCATTGTTTACATAGCCAAAGAAGCGTTTCTGAAATACACTGATTTTTTTCAAACCAAAAAAAATCAATATATAGTACTCCAAAAGGAGATTTTCCAAAAAAAAAACATTTATTATGTTCTCAAGCCGAGTGAAATGCAAATTAACTCTTTGTCTTCACATGTTGATGGTGTTCAAACACGCACTACTGACTTCCTGGCCATCACATAATTACTTTTATTTCCCTCTTCTTACGAGGCTTTTCTAGTGGCTCAATTTTTTAAGCCACTCATCTCATTTCAATTGATTTTTTTCTGATTACAAAGTGTTCAACAGCTTGCCATCGTATAATATTTGATCTCTGTTGCAATAGATCTAAAAATTTTCATTCTTAGTGCAAGCTCATAATCTTTATATTTGTAAAATGTATTTCTCTTTTTTTTGCACATAGTTCGATAGATTAAATATCATTTTCATCCCACTGTCCTCATTTTTTTATTCTGTTTATTCCGTCAAATTTGCGAGTTCATAATTTGAAGTTTTAGGTAACTGCAAACTATCACAAAGGTTGCTATGACTAGTGAAAATGTTCGCTACGTGTTAGCCATCGGCGTCTCACACACGGAAATAGAAAGCGGGTTCATTGTGTTTCCGGACAGCGAGTTTCAGGAACATGGTGTCACTCGAGTTTTAATAAGTGACGTCGACTGGTAAAACAAATGCTTGTCGGTGGCTCAAAACATGGTTTATTTCAGTTCGGAAGATATAATCGGTAAATGGATGTATTTGAAAACCGAGAAAAACAACCTATCCACAACATTTCATCCAGTGAGGACGATCTACGACAAAAATCCCACAAGAATCGTTGATGGAGATGTTCAGGTCTGAACATTATTTATATTTAAAAAGACAACTTTTATTTCAGGTGAGAGCGTCGCTCCAGTTAAAATGTGTTAAGGGTAGTAGAGTTTTTTTCACTCACCCTTTTTTCGGAAGTGTTGCTGGAAATCTCTCGAGAGGCGTCTCTGTGGATAGATTAAAAACTGAGCCGGAACTTTGGATTCAACCGTATTTATGTAATGGTATAGGATGGAAGATTGCCGACGAGCGCTATCAAGATTACTTCATCCCATCCCAGCAAAACCACAATGTACCAAACTGATATTGTTCTGTTTCTAAACTTCTAATTTTTACAGATAACCGGATGTTTGGAACCCTACGAACGCTACTGGACAGAAGGAGTCGTCACCAAAAAATTCGACAAAGTGGGAGACACTATTTACTATGTGTGTTCCCCGAGCAGCCCGGAAGGTCTCATATGTCTTCATCAAAAATATTGGTATGTCTTCTACAGATGTACTTCAAGTGAGTTTTTAATTCCAGTCCGATCGACGTCGAAATGGTGGGACTTCATGTCTCGGTTTGCGTCGATTGGAGACATGAAGTTAAAAGAAAGGTCAAACTCATTCCGAACAAGAGGAAGACAAGGGTAACTGATGGAGAAGCCGAAGTAAGTGGCATCAAAAGTATTCAGGGATGTTTGAAATGGCAGTCTCGGAATTTTTCGGAATGTCGAAAAAAAAGGAATTCACGAATATCGAAATATTCCGATTTCGAATTATTCGGAAGTTCGGAATTTTGGAATATTCCGATATTTAAAATTTCGGAATTCAGGAATATGGAATATTCTGATATTGAAAAACTTGAAAGTTCGGAATTTCGGACAATTCCGATTTTTAAAATCTCGGAATTCAGGAATATCGGACTATTCTAATTTTTAAAAGTTCGGAAATCCGGAAATTCGGGATAATCCGATTTTAAATTTTTCGGATCTTCCAAATTACGAAATTTTTTAAATTTAAATTTTATTGTAGAAGTTTTATTTCTCCCATCACAAATACGCCAAAAACTGGTAAAAACTGACAGAAAATTTCAGAAAAAAATCTAAAAAATTTAATTCGATACCTGCGAGCAATATAATTCCTTTGACATAATGTAGTCAAAAAGGATCTAATTCCGAATTTCCGGAATTCCGAATTCCGTTCCGAACATCCCTGAAAGTATTTTTATCAAGATCATTTCAGTTGCAAATCTGTTTCCAATACAAGGAAACTGAGTGTGGTAAGCCCCGCATGGAATTCCAAGATGAAAACCATGGCTCCATTATGATTTGGCAATCCATGCTTCCAAATTATAAGGAAAATGGCTGGTATATCGGGTGGATCCGCCATGCACCATGCTTCAAGATGGAAGAGTTGTGGATCATGTCTTCATGTCACCAAATTGAAGGGCCATTTGTAAGAAGATAAACGTTCGAAAAAAAAACAAATTTCACAAATTTTCAGGCTTCCAAGCTAATCCAGGATGAGCAAGCAACACCAGCAGCAGCAGCAGCAGCTGCAGCTGAAGAGAAAGATCTCGAAGAGATTGCGAAAATGAAAAGAGTTGGTGATTTTCACAAACTACATGAAAATCAGCTTATTGCAGATACTAGCGATGATGATACCAAAAGTGAACGCTCTTCTCAAACACGAAGAGGTGGTGGTTGCCATGCAACTGGCGAATTTGGAGGAGTACGAGGAACTGGTTGAAATTGCCGCCAAACATGGAAGTGTCGATCCTCGAAAAAAATAAGTTTCTAGATTTTTTTGTTCTGTTGCTTTGCCTTTTTTTGAATTAGAAGCTTTTTAATTGTAATTTTAAAACTTTTTCAAACTAATGTAAACAAGTTTGTAGACTTTTCTTTTTTCATGAGATTGTTTGGAGCTTTCTCTTGAACTTGAATAAAAAAACTTCCGCCGCACTGTCAGGTTCATCTGATTGTTTTGAAATAGGTTATTTCAATCCAGTGAAGTTCAGTTTGTTTTCTATTTTTTGTGTACACTATCTTTTATGGCGGTTCGAAGTAGTCTACCAGAATGTTGCTGCTCAAATTCGCTTCCTAAAAACAGAAATACTTACATTTTGTCTTTAAGTAAATTATTATTCATATTGCAGTAAAATTCCAACTGCAGACAGATTTTTTTTCATTAGAGCTTTCTTTTCTTGTGCCCCTCCCGATTTTCAAATAGTGCGAATTGGTGTGACGGTGTTTGCAGATTTTGCATACCGTATACCAGAACTAAAATAAGTTTTGCGTTATTGTATTAGGTTGGCGGGAAAGTCTTTGTCACTCTGTTTGTTTAATCACTGTTCTCGTATATGGAGGCTGTGTATGATATCGACTCTAGTGAATAACAAGGTGATAAGAACCTTCCATATAAACAAGTCCCCATTTCCTTCCCTGCTCCTCATCTGTAATTGAAACGATATGTTTGTTCCCACTGCTATTCACATCAGACATGTTTTGATTTACCTCTTCCTATCTCACACCACGATGAAGGATTCTCACACCACGATGAAGGATTCTTTCTTGAAGAATGTGTACAACACACATGCCCCTCACTACAATACTATTCGCAATTGGTTCCATCGTTTCGAAAAAGATGACTTCTCGCTCGATGAAAAGGATCGCTCTGGGAGACCCCGTGAGTTGGATTTGGACAAGCTGAAGCACGCATTGCAATCGGATCCATTTCAATCTAGCCGTGAACTAGCTGTCACATTCGGAGTTCACCATAGCACAGTCCTTGAAGGTTTGAAGTCTCTTGGAATGAGAAAACTTTTTGGTCGATTCATACCTCATCACCTGACTCAAGCCAACCTTGACCGCCGAGTCGACGATTCGATTACTCTTCTCACTCTCCACGCGGGCGATCGATGGCTGGACCGGCTAATAACCGGAGATGAGAAGTGGGTCTTCTACGATAATCACCACAGGAAATCCCAGTGGGTTGGAGAAGGAGAGAGCCCACAGGATGTCCCCAAACCCGACCTTCATCCGAAAAAAGTTATGCTCTCTGTGTGGTGGGGAGTGGACGGCCCCATCTACTGGGAACTTCTGCCCGAGGGCAAAACAATAACTGGAGACCTCTACACTACTCAACTACGAAACCTCAAGAAAGCAGTCGACCGTTCGGCCCTGAAAGACAAGAAAGTGTACTATCAACATGATAACGCTCGCCCACATGTTTCGAAACAAGTGAAGCAGGAGCTGATGGGATATGGATGGAATGTTCTCCCTCACCCCCCGTATTCTCCTGATCTTGCTCCTTCCGACTATTGGTTATTTGGCGATATGACACGTGCCTTCGAAGGAAGAAGCTTCAATTCCCGTGGAGCGGTCGAAGCGGCACTCAAACAATACTTTGCCTCACGCCCGGCTGGATTCTACCGCAATGGAATCCATAAATTGAGGGAACGTTGGAGACATGTTGTTGATAATGATGGACAATATAATTAATTATTCGGTTATTTTTTCTTTGAGAAATAAACTATTGAAAAAGTGACAAAGACTTTCCCGCCAACCTAATATTATCACTAAAATACAAAAAAAACTTTTGCTTCGATTTATTTAAAACTTGAAAATGTTTCAACAAATTGTGACAAATATTGTTATATGAAGAATCTCCGGAATGTTTTGATCCCTAAAAGCCGATCAAAATTTGGATTTTCCATAATTCAACCTAGACAACACTTATGAAAAATTTCTTGTGAGTAAGCCATGCACTTAAAATGTGAAAATTCGCTTTCTGATATATTTATTGGTTTGAAATGAATCAGAAGATGAGAAATAAATGGATGGGGCAGTATGAAGGATAGAGATGAGGAAAGAAAAAATAAAATGATGCAGACTATGGTACTGGTCTAGTATAAGTGGGAAAGACTTATGAGGCAACTTGGGACACATGGGGATATTGAAAAGCAAACGGGGACTTTAAAAATATCATTTGACAAACGGGGAATTACTGGGGTTTACTGGGCCAAATTTTGAAAAAAACGTGAGATGTTATGACGAATTTTTCAGATCAGGGATTTTTTAGATATGTGTAGAATTATCGCAATGAAGATAAAATGAAGGTATCAAGGATAATGTTGTAAGTCCATATAATTACAAACAACGGGTGCAGTAGAAATGGAATATGAGAAAAACATCGCAAGAAAAGAACACATCATCGCAGAAAAAGTAAATTAATAACCTAGAGCCATTCTCAACGGGTCGTTGATCTTGGGCATCTCTCGACCAGCAGAGCGAAAGGCGATATATGCAGCGGCAGCCAATTCTTTGATGTTGATTTGCAACAATCCATTGTCTTGTTTCAAAGGGTTTGGGTTGTAGTATTTGGCAAGGACCAGGATGGCTTCTAAAGCATAACTTGGTTGAATTTTTTGAGATTTTGATTGTATTTTGTTTCTTTCTGCTCATTTGCACAAATGTGAGTCATTTTTTGTAGCACAATGATCTGCTTTTTGAGAAGAAAAATGCTTTAAGCTTTTGAGTAAAAGTCTGGGCTGATAATTTGGTTTACAATTTTTCATTGCAGAGCCAATTTTAGCAATTTGTAGCGTTTTTAATACCTCACCTCTTGTCGAGAACTCAAATCCATAGCGATCCGTGGCCAAGACTTCTAATACCTCCTTATGCTCAAAAATCTTTGCGATGCGAGTTTTCAAATACTGAGCCTTTGTTTGTCCATTGGTGAAGAAATTGCCACGGTAGAGACCTTCTTTCAATCTGAAAAATTTCAAAACTTTGGTAAGGAAAATGAGACAGGCGTGTGTTTTGGATATACAAAAGGACAAAATGGTCAGACTGAAAGATCTAAAAAATACACCAATGGAAAATCAACTTACTTCTTCTCAAAATCCGCCTCGTTGATTTGCTATATTTCTTTTTCAAAATCAATCTTCCCACTGTTCACTTCAGACATTCTCTCATTCGGAGCTACTTTGGCCATTGTTTCCAGAAGTGGTCCAGGTGGCGAGTTGTGACGAGAGGAAGTTCAGAGTCGGAGCACAGAGTCTGGAAAATTTATATAAAAATTTACTGACAGATGATCTAATGAGTTTTTTAAAAATTTTATCTGATTCGTTCCCATCAAAGAACTTCAGAAAATAAAATGTTTCTTACCTTGCACTCATCTTTATCGAAAACTTGCACAACCGTCGCGAAACTTTTCTCCAACTTTTTCTTCTCTCGCTGAAAGATTCTCTCTGCTCGAGCTTTCTCATCCTTCGTTTTCAATCCATGCGTGATTTCTCTAATTGCCTTTTTTCTATCTTCTCGTTCCTTTTTAGTCTCATTTCCTTGGTTCAGTATCACATCGACGGCTTTCATTTTCTCTGGCAAGGCTCTAATATATTCCATGGCTTCTCGACAACGTGCCTAAAAATTTGGAAATATGTAAGATTTAAGAAACAAAGAAACGAAGTTAATGAGTCAGAGTTGCTATATTTATGGCAAACTAGACAATGTGGATATTAATTGGAGAGAATTGAAAATATTTCGATACATGTCTGAAAGGAAACCTTACCGTTCCATCGGCTAACTCAGCAGCACTCAGACCGTCAATCTCCGAAATGATGCTGTCGTCGGAGTCGTAGAGCTTGTCTGGAATGTTGGATTTAAAGATAAATTTCCAATTTTTTTTTGAATTATTGAACCCAAAAGTTTCAAAACTCGATTGATTTTAGTGGGCAAATTTCTATCCACTTCGGATCTCAATTTTCTGAAAACCTGAGTTTCAAAACATTTGACCTTCAAAATTTCAACTTTCCAAAAAACTACCTGTGTCTGGGCAGAGAGCATGAAACAGCTTATTGAGGTCATCGTCACTGATGACGTTGTTGGGATCATGCTTCAAACTGTGCAGCAAGGCACCCAACGATTCCAATTTTCGTGGCAGCTTGCTAGCACTTGGCTTTTTACGGTTCGAAACTCCATTTCCCTTGGATTTTGTCTTGGCTTTCTTCAATACTGGCTTTGATTCTTCCCATTCTTCTTGATCGGATTCTTCCCATCTTTCCTGTTCCCTTCCTTCGAATCTCTTGGTTGTTCTCTTCAATTGTTGATCACGTGTTCCTTGTTTTTCGTTCTTCTTTGATGTTACTTCTCGGGATTCTTTCATTTTGTCGGCAGCACATTTATCAGATCTGCCCCTTTTTGTAACCTTCTGAACGTATTCCGATTCCTCCATCTGTTTTTCCTCATGCTTTGCCACTGTTTCCGCAATTTCGTCCGCCTTTGTACAGAGAGCATGAAACATTTTCTTGAAGTCTTCGTCACTGATATCATTTTCGGGATCGTGCTTCAAACGAGGCAGCAACGTATTGAATGATTCCAATTTTTGTTGAGATACGGTAGAAAGTGTTTTCCGGCTCGAAGCTTCAGTTCTCTTGGATGTTTTCTTGAATTTCTTAACGTCTGGTTCTTCTTCTTCTTGATCGGATTCTTCCAGTATCTTATTTTTTCATTCCTCAAGTTTCTTGGACTTTCTCTGAAGTTGGTGATCCCATTTTTCTTGACTTTCCTCCTTCTTTGCCAGTGCTTCTTGGGATTCTTTTATCTCCTCGTCAACATTCTCATTTGATTCGCTCGTTTTCATATTTTCCTGGACGTATTCTGATTCCTCATCCTGTTCTTCCTCATGCTTCTCCACCTTTTCTGCTACTTCCGCATTTGTACACTCCGGTTTTTGCTTGCGATTTGTTTGACCCATGTTTAAGCTGAAAGAAGGCTCGTTACGTATTAAAAAAAGCGAAACAGACAAAAAAATCTGTTAAAAAGAACAGAAATTTGACAAAACGTTGGAAGTAAGACAAAACCGAAAAAAAAAAGCCCTGACATGGTTAGACCTGTGATTTTGAAAAATGGTCAGTGCTGGTCAAGATTTTGTGGCAAAAATGAGAAAAAAAGCAACTCTTTTGAAATGAAAAACATTGAGAAAATCACTCAAATGTGACAACGCCAGCACAGGATTTTTTAAACACAGCAACAGAAAATAAAAGCGAATTGTTAAATTCAAAAAAAAAACTATCGTAAAAATGACATCTCGGCAAAACTAAAGGTATTTTTAATTGTGCGCAAGACCTCCTATGCAAGCGGACGCTGCGCACAAAGTGAACTGCGGAAAAGGACCACAAGGCGATAAAAGATTAGAGACAAAACAGAAAAGGAGACGCAGAGGTAGTGAGCGCGCGCGTTGTTATGAGGAAGAGGAGGTCAATTGTTATGTTGGTGAGAAGGGCACTACACGCAAAAAGTCGAGAAGATTGCGGTGTCGTAGAACTGTTTGCAAGGGCCCAGGTTTGGTGATGACAACATTAGTACATTAAATCAGATTATACTAAACTCCAGAGCCAGAGAACATTGTCAAAATGTTATAAGAAACAAGAAAAATAGATCGAAAAATAGGTCAAAAAAGAAATAGATCGAAAAATAGGTCAAAAAAGAAATAGATCGAAAAATAGGTCAAAAAAGAAATAGATCGAAAAATAGGTCAAAAAAGAAATAGATCGAAAAATAGGTCAAAAAAGAAATAGATCAAAAAATATTTTAAAATTTCTGTGTTTCATGAAATAAAACACTTGAAAATAATTCTAACTCAGGGATTTTAGGTGAGTTGAAAACCTTCGCCGGCAAGAGAAAATCTGCAGATTGAAATCATAACGTTTCCTGCGATGTGTACGCTGCGAGAGTTTTTTGGTTTTTTTTCCGTTGATGGGAGTTTTCAACTCGTCTGAGAGAATATGAGGTGTAGTGACGAGAAATGTTGCTCTTGGTTCTCAGACAATAGAACAGAAGTTAAAGAGCCTATAGGAAGCATATTTCCGTTTTTCTGTAAATAACTTTTTGAAGGTGTGTAATTGTAGGCTGATATTTGAGATCTGCATGTTGACCTCAAAAAATAAGGGTGAAGAAGGTGTAAATTTTTATTGAAAAGTTCGAAGAGCAGAAAAATCGTGTTGCAGCAAATTTTCTCTAACAAGTTATCCTCGCCGAGTCTTTTTAATCTGAAACAACGATCATGCTGGCAGTTATCATCTGAGTGTGCTGTAATAATAAAAAGTTGATGTCTTGAGCTCGTTAAAATGCAAACTGCCCGAGCGATGAAAAGTACGAAATGATGATTATGTTTTGCTCTCAATTTGTTTTTAAGCGTTATGGATATAATGAGCATGTTACACATTCAAGAAACACTTTCAAAAAATCTATCTAAATTGTTAAAACTACACTTTAGAAACAAACCGTGGTTTATTCTTGTTGTACAACCTCTTCACACCATTTTCTGCTGCTTAACAATGCATGTTGAGTGTTTAGAAGCTGCAAAATGGTGTGATAAAGCCACAACAGTCAGCGGAATATTGATGAAATAAAAGTTTAACAGATTAGATCGCTATGAAAAATACCGATAAGAAATATGAAATGAACTGGCTACTGAGAAAACTGATGAGCGAGTGATGTGGAAACACAGATTGCTTTTTTTGTTTGATAAGGGAAGTGATCATGTGAAACTTTATTAAACTTTTGAATCGGAAAGCGTGAAAATTAAAAGAAGTCATTATTATCAATCTGAACAGAAAGGTTTATTTTGAAAACACGTCTGAAATATCGTTATAAAATCGGTTCACTTCCCAAGTTGATACTTTTTTCCGTATAAACATACCTTGTGTTTAAAAAATGTGTTGTTACATGTGTTTACATCACCCTTCTGAATCTCTACACTTCATTATGAGTGAAGATGTTCGAGAAGATGCTGTGAACAAAGGACAACTGTCTCAAGAAGAATTTTATTGTAGTAAATCCGGAAGTGCATGTCGATCAGAAAGCTGTAGTTCTTGAAAAAGCAAGTACGAAGAGAATAGAAATCAGGTTCTCAGTTTCAATCTATCAAAACACAAAGAATACGTGTGTTTTGAATATTCGGGCTGAAAAAATGAATTGAAAAAAGTGATGGGAAGGCGTTTTGGCCGCGGGAATGTTCTATTTCACATTTAAAATGATGTATCTTATCAAGAAGTTCTGTTTATATTATGACTTCAACTGTCAACAAACTTTCATAACAGGTTTTCTTGTCTTTCAATCGAATTTCTCGTGATGATCATGTTTTTCAAAAGAAAGCCTTTGAAATCTGAGATTTGTGTGGGAATTATGACAATTGGATGAGGCGAAAAAAGTAACATTATGTTTTCAGGGAGCATCCGATGAGAAAAGTGTTTCTGGCAAAAAAAGTAGAGATGCCATTCAAAAAATTTCAATAAATTATGCTCTTGAACAAGAGTGATTAAAACTTCAAACCAAATATTTCGGAAAATTTGAAACTGGCTTTCTTTCATATTTGAAAAAGTAGGGTTTTGAAAAAATTCTGAAATTTTAGAAAATTTTACGAATTTTTTAAATGAAAATAATATTCTTAACGACATTTCGTTTTTTTCAATTTCTTTCTTTGACAGAAATTGGTTCACCTTCTTTATCAAACCTCATTTTTTTAAAGATGTTGTTACTGAAAACTCTGTCCGAATAAAATCTGAAATGTAGATGAAAGTTATTATCTTTGGACATATCTTCACGTTATGTAAACTTTCAAAATATTCACTGTTTGCAATAACTGTCATTTTAATTGTCAATTCTTGTTTGATAAGATTCCCATAAAATTTTGATTTTTCAGCTGATTTTTCCATTAGAAGTTTCAACTGTTTCACTCTCTTGACCAAACCATTTAGAATGAGAAAAACACTTTCTGTAACCGTTTTCCTCATGAAATTACTTTTCGAGTTATCAATTTCTCATATTTCTCACACTTGTTATGAAATTTATTTTCTTTGAATTCATTAGTTTCTGATCTCAAGCGAGTCATTGGTAACTAAGCAACTGAGAATTCAATTATGGTTTTCAGTGCGTGTTTTTCTCATTTTCACCTTCCTTCTTGACTCCCACCACCTGCTCATTTTCCTCTTTTCGCTTTCATTTTTCGTATTATTCAGCATGCAATCCTCATTATACAAAAAAAAAAGAAATAATATTGTCTATTCAATAAAACGGCTTGAAAATCACTATTCTGAAACAAAATCTCAAAAAATTGAAAATTAAAAATATCTATTTTTTGAAATTTTAAGATTTTCAAAAAAACATTTTTCAGAATTTTCAGATTTTTCTAGATTCCTCTAGTTTTCTCAAATTTCCCAACAAACTACAATTTTTCTTATCATATATGACCAAATCAT